TTGGGTATTTTTTGTGGGAGGACTGGGCCTCAAGCCTCATGATCCCCAGAGTCTGGTAGGATGTGGCCTAGCCTTGAAAGTGAGTGCTGTGTGATGTCAAGGGCACTTGCAGGGGGTAGGGGAGCAACAAGGAGGAGTCATTTCCTGGGGGTAGAAGAAGCCCGCAGTCCCTGGAGCCGTCTTCCACTCTGCCTAGGCAACAAGCCCAGAGTCCGGAGTATCCGCTTTGCAGCAGGCCATGATGTGGAGGGCTCCCAGAGCCACGTCCACTTCGATGAGAAGCTGCATGACTCGGTGGTCATGGTCACCCAGGAGAGTGACGGCAGCTTTCTGGTTAAGGTATGTGCACGGCTCCCCTCCCCCATTAGTCTTACTTCCTCCACCTCCTTCTCAGCCCTGCTTGGCTTCCTGGGTCTGTCAGTTCCACATCCTCTAAGTTGAGGCCTGGGTTAAGGTCCAGGCTCCGTGACCTTGGGCAGTTCACCTCAGCTTCCTGTTCTCTGAAATGAAGACAATTCACATCCCATAGAGTTGGTTCGAGAATAAAATGGAAGAATGTATGTATGTTATACAATTGGGAGACTAATTATGCTAATAACAAGGTATGACTTTATTTTCCTTTTTTGCCAAACCGCTGGCTAATTCAGCCCCATGTTTTCTGCTCTTTGGAGCACACCTTCTCCTATTGCTCACACTTCACACACCCTCCAGTGTGGCTTCTCCAACTCTTGGGACACTGTTGGATCCCACATCCACTTGGGAGGGGCAGGAGAAACTCTCTGAAGGGAATGGATTGGGGGAAACAGAGAGTGACGCCCTCAGGTTGGACAATAAACCAGGGCTCCAAAGTTGAGCAGGAATGCCAGGGGAGGGGGGCATCTGGTCCACCAAGACCACCCTGAGGAGGGGCCCAGGTTCATACCCATCTCTGCCCAATCCTTGCTCTTTCTCCTAGGACAGCTTCCCCAAGGGAATAAACAGAATGAAATAAAACTTAAAAAAATAGCCCTGGCTGGTTTGGGTTCACATCGATGTTTCTCTCTATCTTTCTCCCCTCCTACCCCGCTTCCATTCTGCCTGAAAATCAGTGGAAAACATATCCTCGGGTGAAGATTTGAAAAAAATCTCTCCCTCTCCCCCACTCCCCGTTGCAAAATCTATTCATGTCTATTACAGAAACTTTGGAAGATAGAGAAAACTATAAAGAAATTTAAAAGTACCCACAATTTTAGAATCTAGAAATAACAATGGTTAATATTTTGATGTGTGTCATTCTAGTTTTTTTTATAGCTTTGTTTCCATAAACAAAAAGCTGGTATCACAGTATAACACTGTTTTTTGCTTGCTTCTGTTGTGAACCGTCTCCTGCCTCTATCAGTAAATCATTTTCCACGAGATTCTACAGCTGTATTCCATTATATGTATCATCGTTGATTTAGCTGACTCCCTATTCCTGGTGTTACTGCTGTTTCTATTTCTTACTGTTAGAAAGAGGGCAGTGATGAGTATTTTTTTGCACATCTCTGAGTATTTCCCCTGGAAAATTCTGCAAGTGGTGCAGCTGCATCACAGGGTCATCCTTGGCAGGCCCAGCCAGAAAGCTCTCTTGAGAAGTGTGTCCTCCACCTGCAGAGTGCGGGAGCCACACGGACTGAGCTTTATCATGCAGTGGCATCAGCCTGATCCCATTGAAAGGCTAAATGTTCCATGCAGCCAACCCCAACTGGCCCCCAGGGACAGGGCCCTCCGGCCCCGGAAAGCATGAACAGAAGAGTGTGTGTGCGTGTGAGCTGTGGGTAGAGCTGCACGTCTGTGCCTCCTGGACTGGCACTCGGTCAGCCTGCCTGCTCAGCAGCCACCCTGGCTTGTGACCCTTCATACGGCTGGAGTTTCCAAGGATGGCATCTATCCCAGAGGGCATCGGTTGCCAAGCACTGTATGAACAACAGAAATTGCTGGGACCCTGAGTCGGGCCTGTTGGACACAGTGAGCCTTTGAGTGGGCAGGCAGGCATCCATGTTCAGATGCCAGCAGGCAGGCAGGAGCCTGGGTTCAATGGCTGGTGCCAGGTCTGTGGGCCAGCTCTGGACTGACACAGCTGGTCTCGTGTCAGTTTCTAATTCTATCCCAGCCTTCATTCTGTGCAATTTGTGTTGCCCCATGCCTCCACACGAGTGACTGGAGGACCAGTGTCCCTGACCCAGGGCTATTGGCTCTGGGCAGGCGATAGTAGTGATGGGGGCAGGTGGACGGCCCCTTCTGGGCAGTGGCTGGTACCTTGCTCTGTGCTACTCATGGTAAGTGTGGCCAAGAGGCCTGTAGCCTGTCATTTCCCAGCTTCCATTTCCTTGTCTATAAAATGGGCCACTGAGGAGCTGTGTGGCCCAGCTGTGAGGTGAGGTCCTCGGGGAAAGACCTGGAGTCACCAGGCTTGGGGTGTGGACCAGCTGGAGTGGAGGGGGCAGATAGACCCCCTAGGATCCCCAAGGAAACAGGTGCAAAGGCCCACAGGATCATAGATGGCATGGGCCCTGGGGGAGGCTGTAAGTGAAGGTGCTTCCTTCCTCCACCCTTCCTGCTGCAGGTTGGCTTCCTGAAGATCCTGCACAGGTATGAGATTACCTTCACTCTGCCCTCGGTGCAAAGGCTGAGCAAGGACGTCCGAGAGGCACCTGTCCCCAGCCTGCACCTCAAGCTCCTCAGCATCATGCCTGTCCCAGAAGGTGCGTCCTCTGCTCAGGGTGCTGGAGGCTTGCCTTCCTCCAGCAGGGCCTGGGTGTGAATGGGAGTGAGAACATGGGATGCTCTTTCCCCCCCACGTAGTGGGGACAGGCAACTCAGCAGCTGGGAACATGACGCCTTCTATACGGGCTGACAGTGTGGCAACTTGGCAGGTCCCTGGCCCCAGGCCTCACTCCCTGGACAGAAGCTCATGGGCTCACACTGTTGGCCTATGTCTGCCCCACTGCCTGATAGTTCATTCAGTGGGATGATGGGAGCCACTGAAGAACTGGTTCTGGACCTTCAGACCTCCCTCCCTCATGTCCCTCAAGAGTAACCTGCTGGAGCCTTAGGAACTTCAAGGCTCCCTCCTAGCCCCCACCTGGGCTTTGGGCTGGGGGCTGCCTCTCCCTACCCTGCTAGCTTCAGCCCCCACTCCCTCCATAGGCTAGGGCATCAGTTTCACTGTGTGCTGAAGCCCCAGCTTCAGTCACATGTCCCCCCACCTCCTCATGACCTTACCCTTAAGTGGATTGAGCAAACTCCCTCAGGCCTTTGCCTCTTGCCACCTAATCTGCTCAAGTCCTGGCCTGCCCACCCCCACTTTCCAATCAATCACTCCCTCTCCTTGCCTGCCTTTTTGGGGAATCAGCAGTCCCTCCTCCTGGAAGCCTAAGTTTGACCCTTGGAGCCTTAATGGGGTGGCCACAGGCCTGAGGCATGTAGAGTTCATTGAAGAATGGGAAATTTCTCGTGCCTGTGCCCCAGCCCCAGGAGCCCGGGTCCTGGGCCATCCTTGCTCCTTTGGAGGAGGGAGCCAATGAGTGCTGGGGGGCAGGGGCTGGAGGCCATGGAGTTGCTGATTGCCCGGACAGGTTACAGCGTCAAGTGTGAGTACACAGCGCACAAGGAAGGCGTCCTCAAGGAGGAGATGCTGCTAGCCTGTGAAGGTGGCACAGGCACCTGTGTGCGAGTGGTGGTGCAGGCCCGCGTCATGGGTGAGAGTGCAGGGCGTGCATCTGGCTAGGGGAGGGAAACGCCTGTTTGGCCAAAAGGGGATTCTGCCTCCCTCCTGTCTGAAAAAGGGATCCTTGCCATGGCTGGGGTTCCCCACCTCCTTGTTGAGTGTCTCCACCCCGCCCCCCACCCCCAATAGAGCCCAGAGAGAAGGTGGAGGGGACCTCTTGGAATGGGTGGGGCCAATGGTCCAGCCTGGCATACTGACTTGAAGCCTACCTTGCAGACCGGCACCATGGCACACCCATGCTGCTGGATGGTGTCAAGTGTGTGGGTGCTGAGCTAGAATACGACTCGGAGCACAGCGACTGGCACGGCTTCGACTGAGGCCCACGCCCCCACCCACCTTGGGGCCCCTCAGCCTTAATCTCCACCTCATCTCCCCAAATGCTGCATGATGGTGTGGCTTCCTCATCTGTCCCTAGGATGGGCATGGGGGTGGTGTGTCTAGGAGCTTCCAAGCTGGGGCCTTGCCCACGCCTCTCCTCTGCCTTCATTCATGCCACCTCCCTGCCTCTCCTGTGTCTTCCTCTTCCCACTTCCTCCTCTCCATGTGCCTCAGTCTCCTGCGGGAAGAAATGGGTTGAGCCCCCAAGGAGGCTATCTGAGGAGGGATGGGGGGAGGGGGAGGACCTAGGGTGGGCTTTACCGATCCCTCCCCACTTGCAAGCCATAGGAGCTCCAGCCAGGGCCTGGAGAGGAGGGAGCTGGCTCTGTGATGTCGTCATTTCCATTACTGCTGCTGCTGTCTCATGTAAGCCGCCTCTCCTGCCTCCTCCCTCTCCCACTGCTGTCTATGGTGAGTGGAGGGAGGTGCAGTTCCCAGCTCCTGCACCCAGGTGTGTGTCACTGGTTTTTAAACAATGGTTGGGATGAAACCCTAAAGAAATAAAACTTTCAGTGGATACCAGAGACCAGTGGAATGTTTGTTCTTCAGGGTCCTGAGAACGCCCAATCCCTTAGACTCTGGGCCAAGGTAGTTCTACTCTTAGGAGGCAAGGGACTGTGTGGTATTACAGTGCCTAGTCCCCAAAGAGCTGTCTGCAGGTGATGGCATTTTAGGCCTGAGAACAGTTGCCAAGAGAGTTCGGATGTGGAGGGCCCTTCTGCCCAGGCCAGAGAGAGTTCTGTTTGGGATACTTGACAAGGAGACACCAGCATCCTCGTTCTGGTCAGTTCCCAGCCCCATGCACAGCTGAAAGCTTTCTCCCTTTTTTCTGGAACCCAGGCCCCCTCTACTACATAACTGGGGTTCCCTCTTGTGAGGTACCAGCATAAATGCTTTATTGTCACCTCGGGCAGGTAGCGCTGTTGCATGTCCTGGGCGGGCATAAGGGCACATTGAGTTGTCTGGCAGAGCTGAGACCGGCTTAGTGTCCCCTTTGTCCTCCTAAGCCCCTCCCCCATTTTGTGGCTGGGATAGGGTTCAAGTGGGTCATTCACAGGTTGCCCTTGGAGCCTTCATCTGTCCCAAAGGAAAGCCCGCCCCCAGCATGCTTCCCGCATTCCCTCACAAGTGCCTTCACCCTGTATGCTTCTCATTAGCCTGCTACTGCCCTTTCTACAATTAACAGTCATACCTGGGTGGTCAGCACCACCCCAGAAAGGCCCTACTACCCCTGTCCCTCTTGTGTCAGCTTCCAGTCATTTTCCTGTGGTACCAGGCTGCTCTGCCCCACTCCCTGTGTGGCTTGAGCCCACCAATCGGTGCATTGCGCCCAGTCCCAGCCAAGCCCCTTCCTCCTGCTGCCCCTCCGCTATGGGCCTTGCCTGACCTCTCCCTCCCAACTGCATCCACCCCCCACCCCCAGTTCTGGCCAGGATCCAGTCATCTGGAGCATTCTGCCTTCGGAGTCACGTGTTCCCTGTGGGTGTCCCGATCAAGCCTCCTTGACCCCAGTCCTTGGCAGAGCCCTTCAGCCTTACAGTCAGTCTGGGCCCAATCCCAAAGCCAGAGCCTCTGGATGTTTCTCCACCCACCCTCCTGCGACCTCATCCCCCCGGGCAGTAGGGCGGGGTAAGGAGCGCTGATACCAGAACTAGGATGTTTGTACGCCCTGGCCAGGTCCCCTGCGCCCCGGACCGAAAGTGGGCGGGGCCGGACAGAGCCTGGCTGGCAGCGCGCCCAGGCGCCTTCAATTGGAAAGAAAGTCAATGGAGGCTCGCACCGAGCGATTGGTGCTGACGTCGACGGCGGTGACCTTAATTTCGGTGTCGCCAAACTGCATGGCGGCACGGATCTCGCGGCGGCCGGGGGGCGCACCGGCGGCGTCCGGGCCGCCGTCAGCGGGCGCGGGTTCGAGCTCGAGGTTGAGCGCGCCACACTTGCGCACGCCGGGGTCGGTGATGAAGCGCGCGTCCTCGGCGGCGCAGCAGTACAGGTTGATGAGCACGCGCCGCTGGCCGGGGCGCGCCGGGCAGTAGCTGCGACGCACCTCCTCGCCCAGCGCCACCGACTGCTCCGCGGCCACGAAGCGCTCGAAAACGTCGGTGCACCAGCGGCGGCCGTCGCGGACCAGCAGCTTGTCCGGCGGGTGGCGCCCGTCCACGAAGCGGTTGAGCACGCCCACGCCGTAGGTGAGCGGGGAGCGGCGCACCCGCACCACCCCGGGCGCCTGCCCGAACAGCACGGCGCCCTTGAGGATGGTGAGGCCCACGTCGTGCGGGACCACCACGCGCAGGCCACGGGGGCCCAGCGCCGCCTGCACCGCGTGCTGCAGCACAGCTGACTCGGCGAAGCCGCCCACCAGGAACAGCAGCTTCACACCCTGCACCTCCGGCCGCGCCAGCAGCGCCTCTGCGGGATGGGGTGGAGGTGGGGGGAGAAGGAGGAGGGAAGGGGGTGAGAGGGACAGCATGAGCTGCTGAGGCTACCACTGCGCGGCCACTCCTCTCCACCTGCCCGGCAATTAGAAACTAGCCATCTCAACTGTAAAACGGTTGCCCTATTTTGATGAATAAAAACACGGAGCGCTTTCACTGAGGGCTCTGCCTCCCCAACAACACACCCCTCCCCCACATGGAGGCCCTGAGAGAAGGATATGCACCTGAGAAATGCCTACTGCGCACAAGACACTGAGCTCTTTAGATACTTCAGCGCCTTTAAATCCCTGTGATAACGGTTTGGGGAACCCGATACTATCACCCCATTTTATCAATTGGAAAACTGAGGCACCAGAGGTTATTTAACTTGGCAAGACTACACACAATCCCTCCTAGCTCTTATTTCCCAACGCACCGACTCCTCCAGGGTTCCAGATGACTCTGGGTCTCATTCCAGTGTATGGATGTGTGGGGTTTCCAGGCACTAATAGGGGCAGTTATTCCCGCACCTGGGTGTGTGTGTGGGGTAATGGAGGACCCGAGCTCAGGCGCTCACCTATGTGCTGGATGATCCCGCTGACTGTGGGCTGGAAGAGCTCGTTCATGGCCTCGCAAGACATCCTGAGCATCCCCTGTGAGGACCACTTCACGAAGTTCACGCTGCAGGTGAAGGGGGTTCAGGTCCAGATGTCAGGGTCCTGGGTACCACTGTTGGCCCAGGCCTATGTGCCTGGGCACTGACTGCACGTTATGTGTTACCCCAATCCCCACTCTCCCAGGGGCTTCAGCCAGGGCCTGCTTCTGTTCCAGGCATGAGGTCCCGGGAGAGGAGCCTCCCTAGCCTCCTAGCACAGTGTGTGTGTGTGTGTGTGTGTGTGTGTGAGTGTGTGTGTGTGAGGTGGAAAGGGGAGAGAAGATAGACGTTGGCCCTTTTCCAGAGGCCCATGATGCCTTGCTCCAGTTGGGGCCGCTTCTTCTAGCTGGGCTGCTCATGCTCCGCCCCCTGCCGCAGGGCTGCCTAGAGCTGCGCGAGCTGTGCTTTAGGCTGACTCCCACTGCTCCCTGCGGCCTACACCCTCCCTTACAGGGGCCTTCCCCATCCGCACGCCCCGCTTGAGTCCATGGCCCCCAACCACCTGCTCCTGCGCAGGGCTGTCTCCACGTTGTGGCCTCGCTGCTTGCGGTAGAAGTCGATGAAGGAGAAGGGCAGTGAGATGTTGAGCGCCCCCGCACGGTGAGGGCCTGCCGTGCGTTTGCGGGCTTCGAAGGCGATGGTCAGATCTACCCAGGCTGCTGGCCGTTGCCTTTTGAAGGTGGCAATGAAGTCCACGCCGAAGATACGACCCAGCAGCTGCTCGAAGGCTAGGTCCACGCCCACCGCGCCATAGGGGCCACCTGGGGTGGGGCAGGGGATGAAGGGGGCGCCAGTGCAGACATCTGGCCAGAGGGCATTGGCGGCTGGGTATCCAGGGCGTTGCCTGGCTACTCACCCGACGCCTTGTAGAGCTCCTTGAGGGTGCCGTGGGGCTGCTCCAGCTGGTGCACCGTCAGGTCCACCGTGCCTCCCCCGCAGTCTGCCACCACGTAGCTGTCTCCTGCAGCGGTGAGCGTGAGCACACCCTGTGGCCTGCCTTGCACCCTCAGCCCTGCGCCTCCTCCCGACCAGCCTCCAGCCCTGCTCCAAGCAGGTCCTGAGTCCTACTTGCAGGGGTGGCGATGTGGACGTGTGAGAGGCTTCATTCAGGTTCTTGAACCTAAGGCCACCGGCTAGCGGCACGAGGTGTGTGTGTGTGTGTGTGTGTGTGTGTGTGTGTGTGTGTGGTGGGGGTTGGGAGGGTTGCGGGGGGGCACAGGGGGGTATGGTCCAGGGCTCTGCAACTCTGCAAGGAGCATGAGTTAGGGGCATGGTTGTGAGTGGGGTGAGGGTGCAGGTGACTGAAGGGACTGCCAGGTTAGACACAGCAGATGTTGGAGGGAGGGGTTTTTAGGGGCTGGAGCCAACTTCCTGAATGTTCCCTTCCTCCTATCAGTATATAGGGGCCTGGAGGGCCCAAGACATATCCCACCATCTCCCGGTCTCCCCACCTGCTTGCAACTCTGCCCACAGCTCTCCGACCCCCGACTCCACCAGGAACGTGCGGCTGTGGCGGGACCTTCGCAGCTGTTCGCGGGCTGGGGGTGGAGGGGGAGCAGGACAGTGAGGTTAGAAGGAGGTGTCTCAGCTACCACGCTCAATCCTCATCCTCCCGCCAACGCCCTCCATGAGCACCCGGAGCAGCCAGCGCTCCTGAAACTGCTGCTCCACTCCTGAGTGGGAGAGGGGGTGCTGACCCCTAAGGGTCTGGAGGAACCTGATAGGAAATCTGCTCGGTAACCAACAGCCGAGGGGAAGCACTTCTGGCTGCAGGGCCAGGGCTCAGGCTGTGGAAAATCAGGGCTGGGAGGGTCTGAAGGAGCTGCGTGTGTGTGCCGGGTAGGTCTCGGGGGACCCAGGGAGCCCAGGACTTGGAGCCTCTCCCTGTCACAATGAACAAGGCCGACTATAGCTGTCTCAGTGCCTGGTCCTGCAGCAGGAGCTTGGGGCTGGTGTGGGGGGTGGAGGGAGCCGCTGATGTGCCATGAGGGGAGGGAAGGATCCAGGGGTTGTTTAGGGGAAAGCACCTGAAGACCACCCTTGGCTCAGAGGGGGGCTGACTTCCTCCTTGGTCAGTACCCAAGCACCCCTCCCCTGGGTAGGCTATCTCCCCAGACCCCAAACTCAGGGCTGGGTTGAGTCCTCCCTCCTCAGACGGTCCTCGCCAAGGGCAAGGGGAAACCTCTGCCCTGGGATTGGGCTCCCCTGGGTCAGGGCTGTGCCTCCGCATTCCACCGGAACTCCAGGTAGGATATTTCTGCCCTCTCGGGGGCTGCTCCAGAGGAGGGGGGCCTCTCCTCCATGCTGGACAAGGCTGAGTCTCTGGTCTCAGGGGCCCTGGAGGTGGCTCACCTTGTCGGAAGCTGGAGTCGATGGAGCGGCGCTCGCCCAGGCGCCCGCTGCCTGGGGCCCGGCAGCTCAGGTCTAGGAGCTGGTGCAGACGCAGCTTGCGGCAGTAGACCGAGGCGGCCTCAGGCTCCAGGGCGATGAGCAGTTGCTCTGCAGTCTCTCTGGACACCAGGCCCGCCTGGAGAGAGGTGGTGGGCAGGGCCAGGAGCACCGTGGGCTGTCACACCTAAGATGGCGCCCAGGGCAGGCACCCAGGGCCTGTGGGGGCTCCCATCTCCTCCCCATCACACCCCTCGCATGCTAGCCCTTCAAGCCCCTGCGTGCTGCACAAATTTGGAGCTGCCCCACAGTTGCCCTGTGAAGAACACCAGGGGGTTGCCCAGCAGGGAGAGACCCTAGACAGAGTGGAAACCTAGAGCACCTTGGGATCTGGCCCTCTGAGCTGCCCAATGCGGCCTGGGCTGCAGCCAGGTCCCCTTCACAGGAGCAGGGCTGGCTGGCCAGCTGGGCACTGGCCGAGGGTGTTCGTGGAGACTCTAGCATAGTGTGTGTGTGTGTGGTGGGGGGGGGAATAATGGGCAGGCCATCAATCAAATGAGATGGTGGGGACCCCTTTGGCTCACTGAGCCTTCCCCCTTCACCAGGCTGGTGTCACAGTGGCCACAGGCCTCCCCACTCCCAGGAGAACTTTGTTTCTGGGGAATCTCATGTAGGAGGAAGGAAACTCCTAGTGAAATTCCAGGCACCAAGACAGGCCAGTTGGGGGGAGAAAAACATTTGGGAGCTGTTACTTCCTGCATCAGGATGGGGGAGTCCCTGTGGAAAGTTTTTATGATTTTGTGGGATTCCCTGGATTCTGACGAGATGGGGGGTGGGGAGGGGTAGGTATCCAGACTTCCTGCCAGGGCCAGCCCTTCCTGAGCTGGCAGCCAGGGAACGGTGTGGGAGGAAGCAGAGTGGGTAAACTGGCAGGAGGAGGGGCACTATGGCTGGGGGGGGGGGTGTTTGTTCTAGCTGGGCACATCCTCGCTTTCATTCTGGTCTTTGCAGGGGGATGCCCACTAGGCTTAGGGTTAGCTTCTTCCAGTGACAAGCAAAGGCACCTGGGCACATGCCTGACCCATAGGGGGCCCTGGTATCCTCCAAGGGGTCTACAGGCAGCCCCGAGACCCCTCTTGTAGGTCCTAGGACGTCCTCCAAAGCCCCAGGTCAGGACCAAGCAATGAGTGTTCCTCTGGAAGGCTGTTCCCTTTTCTCCCCCCCTCCCCCATCTCTACGAGAGAGGCAGTGCCTGAGCTCCAACCATCTCTCTCTCTCCAGACCTTTGGGTATCTCTTATGGGAGGAAAACCAGCAAACACTGGCCCAGACCACCTCCCTTCAGAGGTTCCTGTGCTCAGGAACTCACAGTGGTTGGGGCTGTGGGGGTGGTGGATTCCTGAAAATACTGATGCTGGATGAAGTGCATGTTCTTAGTACCCTGCCCAGCTACTGAGAATGTGGCTGCTCTTGGCTCACAGCTGCCCCCTTCTCTGGAGCTGCCCTCAGCCGAATGGGAACTGCCTCACTTGGAGAGGATCCCCCTCTACCCAGTAACCAGGAACAAAAAGCTGGTCCCCTTGCCTCACTGTGGCCAACACAGGGGTACAGTTCTCCCTCCAGAGCTCTCCACGGGGTCAGGCTGAGGTCACACTCCACATCCCTGCTCAGCTCTTTCTCCTGTCCTGCTTCCCTCACCCCCTGAGAGCCCTTCTTCAATAGACCAAAGCACAATTCCCATCCTGGGCTCTGCTTTTAGGAAACCTGACCTAAGACACTGTCTAAGCTGGCCTGGGCAGTGCCTCTTGTCCCTCAGTCCTCTGTTCCTGCAGCCACTTCCCTCCCCCAGTGGCAACAAACCGCCAAAATGCCCAGCAGGTAAAGGCGGGAGGTCTTCCCACAATGCATCTCTGGTCCCAAGGGTGGTGGGTGAATGAGGGGATGTATGGGGCCATCCCCGGGGCCCTCCCGAGCAACATCAACCCCTCTGCCTGCGTGTCCTCACCAGGTAGGCAGCCTCCCGCATGAACTGCTTGGCGGGCTGTTTCCAGATGGCGGGCACCGTCAACACCCAGCGCACAGTGTCCTTCTCTGGCAGCGAGGGGCACTGCTCTCTCAGCTCCTGGGGCAGGAGGGGCAGTGAGATGAGCGGCTGGCTTGAGTGGGGTGTCCTCAGCCCTCTGTGGGAGCTGGAAGAACTAATCAAGCCTCAGGAAGGGCTTTCCAGCAGAGTTGGAAAAATCCCTAACGCTAACCCCTCCACCAACACATATATGGCCCATGCGGGCTCTTCCAGACAAGAAGGCAGGGGAGTGGAGAAGATGACGTCTGACCTCTGACAGGGGCCAGGGATGGCTAAGGGGAAAGGGTGGGCCTGGGGACGGGGCTGCAGCGCACCTGAAGAGCATGCTCCTTGAAGAAGCGCAGGGCATGGGCGAACACCTCCAGGGCAGGCATTTTCTTTCCGTTTACCGCCTCCAGCTGGGTCTTCAAGGTGAGATCCTGGCAGGGACACAGGGCCACTCTGCAGAAGGCCGTAGTTCTGCCCCCATTTCCTGACGACCTCTCTCTTAAAACCACCCCATTTCCTGGTGCTTACCCTCCTGGGCACCGTCCCACTCCCTATAATCTCACTTTAGTTCTGTCCCCAGCCCCTCTTTAGCCCCGCCTCTCCGCTAACCCCATCCTCACCCTCAGCCACGCCTTCATCCCTTCTTTACTTCCAAGCTCCGTCCCTTAGCCACCACACCCCATCCACCCTCCATTAGGCCCGCCCCTTCCCCTCCTGACCCCGCTTCTCTGGCTGGAACTGGTCCTGAGCCAGAATGTGACTCACAGTGGCGCTGTGGATCTTCATCTTGAACTTCTCGAAGTAGAGCCAGTCCCGAGCCTCCTCGGGGTCTAGATCGTGGTAGTAATCACGGGCAGTGTAGCCAAAGCTGTGAAAGGCACCCTCCGGGGTCAGCAGGAGGCAGGTGGGGGTCTTCTGGTGCGCCACGCCGGGGTCCCCACCCTCCCATTTCCTGTAGAGACAGGGCTATCAGTGGGGTCAGCAGCAACCCTCACTTGGGGGGGAGGGTTGGATAATGGCGTTGGTGAGCTGTGTGACCTTGGCAGGCCTCTTAGCCTCCCCCAGTCTCAGTCTTCCCTACTGTAAAATGGGAATAATAATAGTACCTGCCTCTTAGGGTTCTTGTGAAAAGAAAGATGGTGCTTGGCATCCAGTTAAATCTCCATGAATGCTGCTCTTGGATCCTCCCTATTCATGGGGCTACAGGACGCACCCGGCATTCTGGGTTCCCTTCGTCATTTGACCTGTCTCCCTGCACCCTTAACACGAAGCAGCAGGCCATCATCCATCCATCTGCCTGGGTCTGGCTTCCTCATGTGTCTCTCCAGCATTCTAGCAGAGGCCTTCACCCAGCCAGCTAGTTCGCCTCGCTCAAGGCCGTCCTCCACAACCAAGCTCGTTTAAGGCATTCATGACATTCCTATCTGACCCACCTCAGCAGCAATACCCCAGCTGACTGCACCTCTGCCAGGTCCCCCAAAACCTGAATGATATTCCAAACCTCCCTATTCACAGGCACATGCAGACCTCCACCCAGAACTCCCTGCTCAGTTCTCTGACCTGGAAATCTTCCCCGATTTCCTGACTCCTCTAGGCCAAGCTTGTCACTGTGGCCCTTTGGGGAAGGTACTGGGAATCCAGGTAGAAGAACAGTATGTGCCAACGCTTAGAGATGTGAAAGAACAGGAGAACTAGCTGTAGGTTAGCTCAAAATGCAGCAGGAGAAAAGACAGGAGTGTTGAGGTCAGCTAAAGAAGAACATCAAATGCCGTATCGGAATTCTCTCTTGCTGGGGATTAGGTTGGGGAGTGAAGAGGCATGATCACAGTGGCCTTGAGAAAGGTGACAGGTCCCCATGTAGCAACAGCCTGGAGGGGAGGGAGGGCAGAGAATAAAAACCATCCAGGTGAGAGAGGGTGGTGGGCGTGGAGAGAAGTGGATGGGTACTCCAGAGATAGTAAGGAGACAGAAGTGATGGAACTGGCTGGCTGGTAGGGGTGGGGAAGGCTTGGGAGGAGGCCAGGACGTCCCCCAGTGACTTCCTGTGACTGTCACCTCCACAGGACAGAGGCAGTGTCCCTTCATGTGTCCTTGGCTCCAGTATGGGGCGCAGCGTGGCCTCAGCTGCCGTGTGCTATGGGGCGCAGCGTGGCCTCAGCTGCTGTGTGCTGACCCTAGGGGACTGTGAGTGCTCAGAGCCGTTGTGGCTTCATGTGGGTATGGGGGCGCAGAGAAAGGGGAACGACAGTCCAGGGACCTGACTATCGGTCCCTCCATCCATCCTTCAGTCCAACCTCCGGGGCCCTGTGGAAGCCCCTGATCCCCCATTCCAGTCTGGGTTGGGAGCTTTGGGGTCTTCTAGAGCTCCACCTATTGGCTGCAGCCCCACTAAGACACACTCTAAGGATCAGGGTCTGCAGGGCTGGAGGGAGTGTTTAAAGAAATGTTTTGTTCAACTAAAACTCGACATCAGGATGGATTTTTTGACCATCTCTTTCATAACAATTGTGTGACTTGTGTCAACTCGGTTAGCCCTCTGGTCCTTCATGTCCTTGTATTTCATTTGAGATGTTGGACCTAGGAATTTGCCTCTAGGAATCTACTCCATAGAAATCTCAGCACAAGTTTTCAAGGGAGGAGATTCCTTGCAGCATTTTTTTGTAATAGTGAAAAATTAGAGACCGCCCCCCCCAAAACAAAACAAAACAGAAACCATCAGTAGAAGAATGGATAAATTTTGAAACATCCATACTATGGAATACTATGCAATGTTAAAAAGAAAGTGGTAGCTTTATGTATTGACATGAAATGTCTACAAAATAGTGATAAAAGTTTAAAATCGGCAAATTGGCCCTGGCCAGTGAGCTCAGTTGGTTGGGCATTGTCTCATGTACCAAAAGGTTGCCAGTTCAATTCTGGTCAGGGCACATGCCCGGGTTTCAGGTTCAATCCCAGTAGGGGGCATGCAAAGAGGCAATCGATGAATGTTATGCTCTCATATTGATGTTTCTCTCTCTCTCTCTCTCTCCCTTCCTCTCTCTCTAAAATCAATAAAAAATAAAAATAAAAAAGCCAAATTGTATAATATTCCATTTTTACTTAAAACACACATACACACATATATTCATACATATATGTGTGTACTAGTATGTGCTTGTAAGCAAGCCCAGATATTTGTGTACTTTCCTGTATGTTTTTTATATCTCAATAAAATGTTTTAAAATTAAAAATAAAGCCCAACATTTCCTGCAGAGGGCAGGGAACTGCTCCAATGGAGGCAGGGGGCACAGGACAAGGGCCATCCTCCAAACTTTCACCCCAGAGGGGAGCCCAGACTTGGGGTGGCAGGAGCTCTGAGGGTACCCCATGTCTCCTCAGTGACAGTACTTCTGGGACCAGGCCCAACCCCTCTCCCCCGACCCAATCTCACAGCCCAGTGGCCCTCACCTCATCATGTGGATGGCCTCAGGGTCACTGGCAAAGCTGAAGGCATAGCCACTGGAAGTGGTACCAAAGTCGATGGCCACCACCACAGAGAAGGAGGCCTGCTGGGGGGCTCGGGCCTCAGGCTTCTGCAAGTGCAAGACCTAGAGTTAGGGAGCAGCCCAAGGGCCAGGCTGGGTGTACATGGGAGCCCCCGCCCCCTTTCCTGACTGAGGTCCAGCCCATCCCTGGTTCACCTCCTCCCACCTGCCTGCCTGGGCTCCCCTCCCTTCCCAGGCTCCAGGCTGATCCCTGGAGATGCCAACTGCCTCTCAGGTAGCCCTGCGCAGCTTTTAGCTCAAGCTCCTGCTTTCCTGGCTCCTGGTTCTCTGCCCACCTTCTGTCTGCACAGCCTTAGCCCACCCCCATCTCACACCGTGTCACAGCCCGGGTCCAGCTGGGAGCAATTACGCTCCTCCCGGCAGCTTCACAGCACATGGACCTGTGTATACTTGACCCTGTTGCTCTTTGTGGCCACAGTGACACAACCAGACCGTCGGTTTTGTGGCAGAGGGGAGAGGCCCCGTGCACGTGCCCAGAGTGGCCCCTGCCTCCTCCTAGGCCTGGCTCCCTGAGGACAAAGGGGCCCCCAGGCTCAATAATTTGGGTGAGGCTGTCTGGGGTGAGATGACCCAGCGAGCTTGGGGGAGGGTTATGTCCTGGAGAGTTCAAGCTAGTAATTTCCAAACTCTGTATTTTTTAGCAGCGGGTCTCCTCTTCCTCAGGTGGGGCTATACTAGACAGGAGGGGGGCGGGGCAACCCTGGGAGGGCCAGTGCAGACCCTGAAAAAACCATATGCTCGGAAATACGCCTGCCCCAGGCAGCTGAGCTGCAACAGCCCCTGGATGTCATCCTGGAGGGGGTATTTGGGTGTTAGTACTGGGGCTCACCTCAATAGAATTGTTACCCCTTAAGTGCAAGGTCACGTAAGGGTAACCCTTCTGCAGAGAGCATGACTGGGGTGTGCTAGGGCAGGAGGCACAGTGGTACCCCCAGCCCTGCCCCGGCCCTGCCAGGTATTGTTTCTGGAGCACCACCCCCCTCCACACCACTCAGGCCACCCACCACACAGATGCCCACGCCAGGCTTACTGGAGACTGTGAGGGTGTGAGGGGGGCAATGCCACAGCTTTCCTGGGTCCTTGGGGAGCCGGGTGGGCTGGGAATGGGGGACCGCTCTGGGCTGGAGCCTGCAAAGAGAGGGGAAAACATTGTGGCACAATCAGGGTAGGGGGCTGGCAGCTGGGCCCCAGGCCTGGGAGGTTCTCCCATCTATCCTTGCTGGGCCAAGGCAGGGGTGCCCTGCTGAAGAAGGGGGATGGGTGGGAGGGGAGGTAGGACGAGACTGAGCAGGGACACCTGAGGCAGGAGCAGGCTGAGGGCTTATGATCGGTTAGAGGTGACCATCCCTGGAGGATGACCCATGCCTCACCTGGGGACTCCTCATCTCCCCAGCACCCCTCAGACACAGTGGGGGAGGGGAGAGACCGAGAAGCAGCGTATGTGGGGGCAGACTGAGTGCAGAGATAGAAGATCAGGAGAGATGGGGTGGGTGAGCTCCTGCCTGGGG